AAGCCCATCGCGGAAGACCACGGTCAGCCGGCGTCATGGAATCTATGCATAAATTTGCATAAAATGCGGTCGACCGCGGTGCACCGCCCGTTTGATTTCCTACTCATCCGTAATATAAACTTCAAATTTTGAGGTATGTTGGGGAGTGAGGCGAGCTAAAAATCTAAAAACCCTACTGTTCAAAAAATTAAGATTTTACTCACAGTGTCAATATTCTGTATAATATCCTGGAATGTGGGATGAGTTCTGAACGGGACAAATAAATCCTTTTTATACAGTAATGTATAAATTAGATTAGGATTGTGATGTAACGTGTTAGTTAGGCATGAATTCACTATTTCCAATACCATCCGTATCACCTCTTCCAACACTGCTAGATCTGTAGCCTGAAGCAATAAAACAACAAACAAAATAAATTGGGTAACTTCACATACTACATATAACACAGACAAACAGACTTTGATTGTACGAGTTTTGATGGGTTGAAGTTTAATAGAAACATTTTGGACATACAGCAAACACATTCATATTCATTCAGCAGGTGGAAAAGAAGAATATGCCCTCTTGTGGTCAAAATTCAGAAACTTTTGTTTTTATTTTTAAAGAGATACTTCTATTTTCTATTTGCACTCATTCAAACTTTACCTATTTGGGGTAAGCAACATTATATATGATCGTCATACTGCCTTCGTGCACACTGCGGTATTACCACAATAGCCTCATATTACCAGCCACAATGTTAATTTGTTTTGCTTTCACTTGAGAAACATTTTCACAGATTTTCTGAAATTGTTACCGTTTCAGTGTCACGGGGATGTTATTAGAAGACAGTGGTCATCATGCCACATGTGTGAGTTTTTTGTTGATAATCGGTGAGTTTTTTCTATAACCTGATGCACGCTCCCAGTGGCAAGCATGAATGTATGCTTTGATCTGACTGCAATGTGCACTCAATACTGACTTTGACTCTTTGGAGTACTTTGATGCATTTTGATCATTCAAGAAATGTCGTGTTTGTATGCATTGACCTGCAACAACAAGCAAAGTCGCTACCTTTGTTCATACAAGACCAATATTTGCACATACACATCCTGACAACAACCTCCCTTCCAGGTCACAAATCTCAGTATCTTTGTGAAATTTTGTTTTTAACAAACGACATCAAATTATCAATTTACGAACATTCCGGCAAAAATTCATGAATACTGCTTTGAATGGCACTCATTAATAAAGAGCAAAGTCCAACTACAGGGGGTGCTCTTACATATTCTCATGAATGAACAATATATACTTACATAATCTGGAGTTGATGATCTGTCATCGTTTTGATTATTGTGTTCCATTTTTGGTGAATTTCGAAGATGTTCTAAGATTTTAGCATGTTTCTTTGATAATAATTCAAATAAACTGTATAAACAGAAAAGAGAAAATTATCTTGGTTCTTTAGTTCAAAGCGTAAACTCAAATCAATGGAACCAAATGGGCATATACTGAAGAATGTAACTAATAAACAAAATAAAAAGTTATCCATGGACATGGACACAAGCCCCACACCTTGCTTTCGAAGATATCCATAGATAGTTATAGATGTCTATTTTTAACATGTGATTTATAAACGCAAGATCAGGGTTATAGTTAGATAATTGAAAATGCCTGTCTGAAACTTCATCAAAATGAAAAATTCAGTCACTAGTCTGTAGCCATAGACTAATAGTTCATTTTTTGGTGATTATTTATTTTGGTGGTTATTTTGTAATTTACACAGAATTTTCAATGAGGATTGGACAAGTTTGTACAAATTTTGCCTGTCAAATTAAATTTTGTACTCATCTAAAATGTGGAGTGCTTGTAAAAAATGACAGACAGACAAGTGGCTGGCTAAAATGCCTTACGCTCACTCCCATTATGCCACAATTTAGAACCACATCTACTTATGTATGAATAACTGAATAAATGAGTCAGAGTTTAATATGACCTGCTGAAAGCCTTCACAAACAACTAGAAACAATGCGAAAAACCAGCGTCAACAGGTGTTGTGTAATCGCACCACAAACTCGTTTTGGCTAACAACTACTTGTTCATGCTAATTGCAAATTTGCATTTCAGTGAAACCAAACTTATTACGTTTGTTTGAATCAACATGAACTCTACAAGTGCCAAAGTCAACTTATATCACCATTCACAAATTGTAAACCTGTGTAATGTTTTCATAATTTTTCCAATATTGTGATCAAAACATAGAATAGGCAATAGGAAATTATGTCTATATGGTCCATAATTTTGCTGAAAATTAATGATGTTCAAGGTGTTAAACAAAATAAAGCAAATACAGTAGCAGAAAAAACTTTCAATGACCTCTGCAATTCAATTCAGTCTCTGTAACAATGTTATACTCAAAGGTGCAGTGGCTAAGCCACACTTCTGTAAAACAATTTATTTTAGCTGGAATTAATCTTTGCTGGAAGGACCTTTTGAATGTTTTGTATGGAATGCATTTTACTGATTTTTGAAAAGCTGAATATAAAATATAAGAAAAGGGTTATATTCGCTGGATTTTATTTTCACTGACACATCCCTTCAGCCAAAATAGCAATATTCAAGTATTTTAAAAGTTTCTTCTTAAAAATACTTGGTAGAATGTTTCAGAGTTGGCTAGTAGTCTCACTTGTACTCACCTGACTATCCTCTGTGTGACATACGGATGTAGTGAATGAAACTGTGATGACATGTTGGCTAATGCTGCTAAACAATTCGTATGAAGATATTTATCCTGAAATAATGATTTAAATCAAATTATTACTCACACCATGGCAGCAATCTTATCCATCCAGAGAAAATTTTAAATATGAATACATCAGTGTAATTTATTATTCATTTATTTATCACTCATATCAATGAGCAAACCCTGTAACAGATTTTCAGTTGAGTAGAAGCAAACATACAAGGTAGAATTTGATGCGTTGAAAAACCTGTTAAGAAACTAGCAGATCACTGATTGGTCTGACTGTCAGGTGTTAGGGTTGGGTAGCCAATCAAGCACAATCTTGTAAGTAGATTTGCATCCTGCTACTTGCTGTGACATGTGACCAAGAAGTCAGGTCATAGGTCAAATTGAGTACAGGGATTTTTTTTAAACAAAGGGAACAGGGACGCAGCGCCCTCATACCATGGCCATGCGCCCCCTTACCCTGGGAAGCAGATCCTCTGGCAACCATAAAATTCTGATTGACCAGGGATCACATGTGGCCACAGTCTTCAACTGTGACCTGTCTGATAGTAATTTTGGCCCCAAGGAAGCCATAGAATGCTCCATTTTAACTTAGAATTATCAAAAACTCCACACCCTGGTAGAGAGAACACTATCTCCCCACTTATTGGCGCTGCTGAATTGCTGTGCTCCCTCTTGCAGTTTTTTTCTAGAAAAATCCCCTGCAGTACATACAATTTCATTTGAGTGAAGAGACAAAACTGAGCATGTGACAACAAAATCAACCTGAGTAATTGGGTCAGTATCACTTGGATCAAGACTGAGCTCAGTAGGAATAAGATATAAAATGAATACCGTAAAATCTGTATTAGAAGCCGCATCCCTAATAGAAGTCGCACCCATTCTTTTTAAACAATTGGGAGCCAAAAAATCATCATTTCTCATATGTGTAGATGCTCTGATAGAAGCCGCACCCCCTCTATTGGATTGTACCATTTTAATAGAAGCCGCGGTTTCTAATACAGATTTTACAGTACTGCTGATTGCAACACTACATATATACATACCCTCATTCTTGTCATATTATATTGTATCGTTCTGATCACTACCAAGACAATTAAACCACCTAGTGTAATCTCTGTTATACTTCTTTCAGTATACCACGTAATATTCCGGACAATCTAAACCAGGATACACAAGACTACAAGTTAACATTGGTTTTCACAATAAACAACACCACAATGTACTGTAGAAAACTTTATTTTTGCTTGGAATTTATTTTCGCTATTTTCGCTGAAGAGATGAGTCCGTGAAAATAAAATCCAGCGAATATACTTTTTTTCCTATATTTCACATTAAACTCATGAAAAATCAGTGAAAATAAATTCCAAGCAAAACGCCCAAAAAGCCTTTTCAGCGAAAATTAATTCCAGCGAAAATAAAGTATTCCACAGTATTATGTAAAACGACCACATACAGATCTGTCTCATTTATCACTGAGCAACCAGTATTAATTTTTGTTTGATATCTCACATAATGAAATTAATCTTGCTGATATGATTGGTTCTTGCACATTCATCAGACATTGAGGCACTTCCATGTTCTCATTATTCCAATCAAAAGTTGTATTACACATATTTAGTGTGCTTTTGTTTCCTTGATTTCAAGCACAAAAACAATGTACCGTAAAATCTGTATTAGAAGTCGCACCCATTCTTTTTGAATAATTGGGAATCAAAAATTCATCATTTCTCATATGTGTGGTTGCTCTAATAGAAGCTGCATCCCTTCTGTTGCATTGTACCATTTTAATATAAGCCGCGGTTTCTAATACAGATTTTACAGTAATATGCATTGTATACACAGCCTGGGCCGCATAGCAAGCATGATACAGTGTCTCAACTCTGTTGTTTAATTCTAGCATATACACGCTGTCAATATGCGACAGAAAACTTACTAATTCATGAACTGATTTATTAAAAGCATCGTCTTCACTCATAATAAGGAGAATTATCAACGCCATGTAGATATGATGAGAGTTGCGCTCCTGTGCACTGTATAGAATCTTTAGAATTGGTACAACCTTCAAATAAAACAAGGGTAGTGATATAAAAAGTAATTTCAACATAAGGTGCTTACATGTGTGCAAGAAGTACATCAGTTTACATCAAGACCACCTAAGTGACCCAACAATCTAAGTTAAAATTATTTAAAGATGACGTAGAAATATTTAATAAGTAATTATTAAGAAACATAAATTCCCAGACTTACTTAGGTAAGTTATACGTTTTGAAAGACCACCTAAATAAGATATCAAAGAAAGCTTAGAAAGAACTCCCGTGTGCTGAGAGTATTGAAGACAAATTAAAAATTAATTCAAAATTACTTGTACACGAGATATTGATGGAAAAGCTGAAAACTAATTATGTAAATCAGGTAACTAATATGAACAGAACCAAAAAATTATGAATTATTATGCTAATTAGAGAATTAACATGAACAAATTTTAACCTAAAATTAATCAGGCCTGTCTATTGTTCTAGAGCATTTATGTACCAAATTTAATTCTAATGTGATGATCAGTAATTGAGATATATCAGTGTTAATTAATTATGTTAATTAGGTGATTAATAAGCATAAATATTTACTAAAAACTAATGGGGTCTCTGCATAGTTCTCTTTAAAATTTTCATTAAAATCCAATTCGTGGTTCTTTATATATCAGTGGAACATTATGCAAATTAGGTAATTAATATCCAATTAAAACTATTCAGGTCTCTGCATAGTCCTAGAAGATCTATGTAGCAAGTCTCATTGAAATATGATAATCAGTACTTGAGATATCAGGCAAAAAGCTGAAAATTTACCCCAAAACTAATCAGGGGTCTGCACAGTCCTTAAGTAACTATGTACCAAGTGTCATTGAAATGTGATGATTACTACTTGAAATATCAAGAGCTGAAAATTAATTAATTATGCAAATTAGGTAATTAATATGTACTGATATTACCCTAAAAACTATCAGGTCTGTGCAGTGTCATA